GCGGCTCCCGCGTGAGAAGTGCCAGGGCCGACTCCCCAGGGTGGCGCCGAGCCGCTGCAGGGCGTCCGGTTTCAGCTTTGCCCCTCCCCGGCTTTTGCAGAGCCTGGGAGACTTGTGGAAGCGGGAAGGGACCGGCGCATGGACACCCTTTGGAGGGAGGTCTGGGGCTACACTGCCTTACATTTTTTGCAGATCAGACTCCTTAGAAGTTAGCTCCGACGTAGCTCACCACCATCCCCTTGTGAGCTTTCGGATTTCCATTGTGCAGATGCAGAAACTGAGGTCAGATACCTTCGGCGGCTTGCACGGGATCTGCGTGGGGCAGGGCCAGGACTCCAACTCCAGCCCGGCCTGCCAATCTGAGGCGCATTCGGAAGCCTGGGACCCACACGCGGTAGGGGTGGGGCAAAAAGGCAAGAGCTCCTCCCCCTCCGCGTTCTCATTCCCACATTTTGTGTCACTCCTGTATTCACTTTTAAGTCCCTTCGCCCCCCACCGCCTGTGTCGGTCACCAGCCTGGGTGGATTTTTCCAGATCCCCACGATGCCACCCCACCCTAAACAAATCCCTTCTTTCTCGCGCCCGTGTCCCCACCCCGACATTTTTTCGGAGCCTGCCCTCTGTTATTTATATCCACTGGAGCGGCCCAAGAATGTTCCGAAGCTGACCTAATCGCCACCTGCTCGGCCTCCCCTCCCCTCCCGCTCGCTCCTGCGCTGGTGACCCGGCGGCCGCGTCCTCCCCTGGCAGGCGAGAGGGGGCGAGGGCCGGCGAGGGCGGACGCCCGGGCGCTCGGAGGATCCAGACCGCGCAAATTCGCTCGGGGTTGGAGAGCCGGGTGCCCTCCCATTAGTGCGCCCTCAGGGGGAGGACGCGGAGCTCTGGGAAGCCCAGGATCACGTTCTCTCTTCTTACCCACTCGATACACACCGACACCCCCCCCCCATCCCCGACACACACACACTCACAGAGGAGTGTGAGTACGTGTGCGCGGATTTTTAAACCGTAGCTTTAAAAATAGCGAAATATGTTTCTAGTAAACCCGGGAGGAATTACTGGCGCGTTCTTTGTGCAGATAAATCCGCTCATAAATTGGAAAGGGCCAGAAGGGAATGAATGAAGGTAATTGCAGGGGGTAGTATGAGTTGCTGAGGGTGGACTTGCTCCGTAGTCCCGGTGAGAGGGCGAAACTGCCTCCCCAAGACCCAGTGCGGCACCCAAGACCATTGGTCTGAGGCCTCAGCCGCTTGGCAAGTGGTGCCTGAGGTGTGGGTCCTTGCCTGGGTTCTCACAAGGGAGTGTGCCCAGCAGGATGAACTTCTGAAACCAGGCTCAGCACCCACTCTCGGCTGCGTCTTGGACAAGTCCCTTTTCTCCGTGTCTGTTGCTGGCCTCCCAAATGGGCCGTGTGCCCTGGCTAATTGCGGATTGTAAAACAACTGCAAATGAGAAGAGCTGGGGTAGTGTCTGATGACAGTCAGGGTGGTTTGTGTTATTTAAAATCTGTTAACATCCCACCTAGTGCCTGAGGGCCTTTAGGCACCTAGACAGAAAGTGTGAAAACACAAGAATGAAATTAATTACAGGAGCCACTTATTAAAACCCCATTAAAAAGCAAGGCTGCAAGCCAGGCCCTGGGGTCTGGGGAAGCCAGGTCACAGAGACTCAGAAAACAGGACTGTTAATGAGATCACGAGGAGTGGATGCCGGTGTAAAACATCTGGCTTCCCTTGGGTTCAATCTGGAAGCAGAAAGCAGAAATGTCGCAGCTGATCTTAATTGCCCCTAAGGTACCATAGGGAGAAAAAATAAACCCCAACCCAGAGCACACCAAGCTGCTTCAAAAGGGAAAAAGACAGAGCTGCTCTTGAAAGACAACCCCCTGTTAGGGCTGCCCCCAGGGCTCAGATTTCTATGCTCCACAGCCAGAGCCCCTACACACTCACACTGCTCTATCAGTGGAGTGCCCAGCTTGAAGAGACTTCAAGATGAGATGCCCAAGGTCAGAGGGCTGGATAGACAGAGACCTACAGACGTGGTTTGGCTTGAGGCACCAAGTGGCAGATTGGTCCAGAGCCCAAGTTTGAAACATTCACAGACTCACTCACCTTGAGCATCTGGAATGTCCTAACCCCTGTGCCTTCACCTGTTTGTTTATTTATTTAGTCACTCATTTATCCAACCAAGAAAACATTTGAATTTTTGCTCTATGCTAAGCCCTATGCCAGGGTATTGGGAACACAAAGATAAATAAGGCAGGGCTCTAAGTGCACAATAATGATTCTCTGTGGACATGAAGTACTCTGGGAGAAGAGAGACAGAAGAGACTGCCTTCCATGGGTGGTGACACTTGATGGGTCTTGATGAGCAGGAATTCGTCATGTGGAGAGGCATTCTAGGCGGCAGTACCAGGGTGTGCCAAGCCCCAGGGGTGTTAGCATATGACCCAGCAATTCCACTTTTCGGTGTCTGTCCTAGACAAACGTGTACAAGTGCATGAAAACATACAAAGATGTTTGCATGTAGTATTGTTTGCAATAAGGGGAAACAGAAAACGAATGTCCATAGGAGTGCCATGGTTAAATAACCTAAAGTTCATTCATGCTTTGGATTACTCTGCAGCACCTAAAATACATGGTATCTAGAGATGTGTTCTTCTATGAAGATCTCCAAGGCACTGTTGAGTGAAAAAAAAAAAAAGCAAAGTGCAGCACACACAAAATATTCAGAGAGAATATTCACCAAATTTATTTCTGTAATTAACTCTAGTGAGATGTATAGAATTGGTAAAGGAGACTTTTGTAAGGTTAGAAAATTAACAGTGAGAATGTACTTATGTGTAAATTGTATATTTAAAATAAAGAGTCTTTTAGGAGATGGTGAGTGGGTCTTATTGTCTAAAACAGTGCTGTCCAAATAGAATCTTTGGCAGCGAGGGAAACATTCTATAGCCTCACTGTCCAATGCTGTAGCCATTGAAATGTGATTAGTGTGGTTAAGAAGCTGAATTTTAAATTTAATCTAATTTTAATTAACTAAAAATGTAATAGCCACAAAGCTAGTGGCAACTGAATTGTACAGTTCTGGTCTAGAATATTGAGTTTACGATCTGGTGGAGGCAGATGAGAGATGAGGCTGGTAAGATAGGTTGGGATGGAATGAATGGTGAAGCTTTGCAAGGTGGGCTGAAGAATTTGGACTTTATCCTACAGGCACAGTGGGCAGTGTGGATGAGAGTGACTAGATAAAGGTAACTCTGGCAGCCCTGCAGAGGGTAGATTAGAGTGGGCAGAGGGCTGAAGGCTGCTGTGTTTCTCTCCGTGGCCTCTGGACATTGCCCCAGCATTCCTGACTGGCAGCTGAATAAAGTATTCTGACTCGATAGCTATGTTTTTAAGATCTCAGGCAACCCCAGAGTTATTGAGAAGGGTTAACCTCAGTGGGGGAGGCTGTTTTTGTGTTGGAACGCAGGAAGAACAGCAGATGGATGACATTAGAGTGAAAATGCATAGCAGGTTTCAGAGTGGGGACTTTAATGAAAGCTTCTCCAGGGTCAGGAATTTGCCTGGAGCAGATTCGTTGGAAATGCCTCTGCAGAGTCCAGGTGTACAGGAGGGTTCTGCTCAGGAAGCCTGCCCTGGCTCGTGTGGGCCCTTCCCTGAAGTCCACAGGGTCCTCCTGAAAGAATTCTAGTGGAAAATCCACTCCGTTGTCTGCCGTTCATGGAACACCCACTATGCCAGATACCATGCCTGGTGCTTGGTCCACAATGCAAACACGGCACACATGGTCCCTGACTTCATGGAGTTTTCCACTAAAATCAAATTAAGGCCCAAATACATAGTTACCCTTTGTAGTAAGTGTTTTAAGGGAAACAGGAACATTCAAAGGACATGGTACTGAGAGAATAAGTAAGGGAGCATTAAGAATATAGGCGCCCTAGCCAGTTTGGCTCAGTGGATAGAGCGTCGGCCTGCGGACTGAAGGGTCCCAGGTTCAATTCTGGTCAAGGGCACGTACCTTGGTTGCGGGCACATCCCCAGTAGGGGGTGTGTAGGAGGCAGCTGATCGATGTTTCTCTCTCATCAATGTTTCTAACTTTCTATCTCTCTCCCTTCCTCCCTGTAAAAAATCAATAAAATATATATATTTTTTAAAAATATAGGAGGATCAGAGAAGACCTTTCCGGAAGTTTAAGCTTCTCTACCCACAGAAGCCCCCAAAACCCAAAAGACAAGTAGAAGTCATCTAGGTGATGAGGGAACCTAAGAGAGAACATTCTAGTTAGGAGGACTGAGGTGTGCAAAGGCCACGACATGGAGATGACCTTCTAGAGAAGAAGGGTAGAGTGGGTAGGGCATGGTGAATGAGAGGGGGAGGGAAGAGGGACGGGCGGTACCCAGACACCACAGGCATTGTCTTACTCTGAGTGCAGAAATGAAGCAGAAGAGAGACCTCAGTGTGTTTCTGGATATCATGTGAGGAATAGATTAGAGCAGGGGATCGGCAAACTGTGGCCTGGGCCACCTACAAGCTAAGGATGGGTTTTATATGTTTAAACAGTTGAAAAATATCAAAAGGAGAATAATATTTTGTAACACATGAAGGTTCCAGGAAATTCAAATGTCAGTGTCCCCAAATAAAGTTTTATTGGAACACGGCCTCGCTTATTTGTTTACAAAGTGTCTATGGCTGCTTTTGCACTGTTGAATAGTTACAGCAGAGACTGTATGGCCCGCAAAGCCTAAAATATTTACTATCAGGCCCTTTACTCTCAAATATGCTGATCCCTGGATTAGAGGGAGACAAATAGCAGGGAGACCAATGAGGAGGTTGCCACAGTCAAAAGTGCAAGAGCAAAGTGGCTTTTGCTAGAGTGGTAGCCGTGGGGGTACTCCGTGTAGGGACTGAAGAAGTATGTGGGGAGGTCGGTAGATCTTGCTGATGAGTTAAATGTGGATGCTAAGTGGGGAGAGATATTTCAAAGTGGCTCCCAACCTGAGATCTTGGAGTGGACTCTGGACCACAGTAAGATATTAGTGGGGCAGTTGGCAAAATTTGCACCAAGTTTATTGATTAGTGTTATTAGCGCTAATTTCCTCACTTTGATAATTGTATGATGCTTGTGTAAGATGTTACATTTGTGGATTTATGGAAGAGTATATTGAAATTCTTTGCAAACTTTATGCAACGCTTTGTAAGTCTGAGATTATTTCAAAATGAAAAGTTAAAAAAAATAAAGGAAAACAAACAAAGGAAAAATATGACTCCCTGGTTTTTAGCTTGAAGTGCCATTTACTGAGATGGGGGCAATGTGAAAGAGGCAGGAGGAGAAAGGAAGATCAAGACTTCACTCTTGGACACATTGGGTTTGAGATGCTGAGATGTCCAAATGGTCGTGTCAAGAAGGCGCGGCCAGGTACTATTCTGGACATCATGGATGAGCTCCGAGACCTGGGGGAAGGTGAGGAAACCATGCAACTCAACCTCGGAAAGGCAGCTCTGTGCCTGGGGGGAGGCAGGGCTGGGGTGGCGAAGCGGGGGTGCATGTGTTTGCAGTGTCTGTGGTACACAGGCATTCTGCTCAGCACTTGGTCACTGGAGCCTCTTAACAACCCAGTCCAGTAGGACTTATTCTTCCCGGTTTACAAAGGAGATAACAGGCTCAGGAAGGTGCTAAGATGAGCTCAAACACGCAACTAGGAAGTGGAAATGTGAGGGCTGTCTGACCCCAACACAGTTGCTGAGTTGGTGATGCTGAGCATCCACGGGCGTGGGTTTATTAGTTTCCTAGGGTAGGGCTGTCGAAATAAGTGACCACAAACTGGGTGGCGTAAAACAACAGAAATACCTTCTCTTACAGTTCTGGAGGCCAGAAATCCAAAATCAAAGTGTTGGCAGGACCATACTCCCTCCCCAAGCTCTGGGGGACAGTCTTTCCTTGTCCTCCTAGCTTCTGGTGGCTCCTGACAGTCTGATGACCTTTGGTATCTCCTGGCTTATAGCCATATCACTCCAATCTCTGCCTCTGTCTTCAGGTCATCTTCACGTCAGTCTGTCTCTTTGTATCTGTGTCTCGTCTTCTTCTGTCTCACTCTTATAAGGACACTCGGCCACTGGATGTAGGGCCTACTCTGATAATGGCAGCTCTGTGCCTGTGGGGATGCAGGACCCAGGGTGGCGAAGGGGGGTGCATGCATTTGCAGAGTCTGTGGTACACAGGCATTCTGCTCAGCCCTTGGTCACTTGAGCCTCTCAACAACCCGATCCAGTAGGACTTATTCTTCCCAGTTTACAAAGAAGGCCACAGCCTCCCATCTTAAAATCCTTAACTACATCTGCAAAGAGCCTTTTTCTAAATGAAGTAACATTCACAGGCTCTGGAGATCAGGAGGTAGCTACATCTTTTCAGGGACCGCCATTCACCCACGTCACTGGACTGGAGAGGGCTACAGCGGTTAGCCTTGGAAAGCTAGTAAAATACTTCCTGAACTTGAAAAGCAGCCTGACTTTCAGAGTTTCTCTCCATCCAGTTTCACAAATGTGTCTCTTTGCAGAATGGATCAGCAGCCTCAATGCTGCCAACACCAATGTGGCTTGGACTTCTAGATGGCCTATAATTATGACAAAACTCTCAGACTCTGGGGCCTAATGACACAGGGATAGCCAAGCACAAAGGGTAGCATACAGTAACTGTGTCTGGGAGGATGCCCACTCAGAGTTTTGAGTGTTGGGGAGGATGCGTGTAGATTGTACCAAGATACCCGCCCCCTCTCCGAGGCTACTGGCTTCCCCAGTAAGAACCACAGTTACCCTGGCAGCTCACTGCCTTCCTCTACAAGGACAAACTTAGCTAGGGTTCCTTGGGCAAGTTTTTTGTCACAGGCTCTTAGAGTTAACATGTCATAGTAGGGACAGGAGCCAAAACAGGGCAGAGAAGAGGGGAGTGGGAAGAGGGGAGTGTGAAGGAATGCAAATGTAGTTCTCCCAGTCCCACTAGCACATGACTCACCCACTCGTAGGGAACTGGCTTGGCTGTCACACAGAGGGAACCATTTTTATTTCTGTCACTTGGGAGTCCTGCAGTCCTGGAACAGCCCTCTGGCATCAGAAGAGTGAGGAGAAGGCACTGCCAGAACTCAAACCCTGGTTTCTGACTCTCTGGTTCCTGATTCTCTGGTCTCTGTTCTTTCCATGATGGTTATCTGACTGGTGAGAACAGCAAAGAGCTTCTTCACTACCTTTATTAGGCCTTATCAGTAAATAACGTATCACAAGGAGATAATATAACTTCTATTTGTGGAACACTTTACAGTTTGCAGAGCACTTTCACGTATAGTATTTCAGCACTCTGGCAGTTGCCCTGAAAATCTGGCTGCCTGGAGAAGTTTCCTGGCACCCTGGACCTACGGTATTCCAGGACAGGATGCTGATTTAGTGTGGAGATGGTGCCTCTTCCCCCACGGTAAAGACAGAAGGCAGGTTTTTTTGGTAATTACACAGCTGTCTGACACTTCCAAAGCTACCCAAAACTGTACTTTTGGAAATGAATGCTACTCCCAGAGGGTGGGAGCCATGCCCTCTTTTAGCATTATTACAAATTTATTTATATTTGGGCACTTAAATATGTATTGGCGATGCCAAGCTGCAAGGACTCTGAATGCTGTATTCAGTCTGTTTCCAATCCTTTAGGAGGAATTTCAACTTGTTCCCTGCAAGCTCTGCAGAATCCTTGAGGCTGTCATTTGCAAACCGCTGGATGCAGTAACTCTGTGTGGGAAGCCTGCACACACCATCCACATGGACTATAGATGGTTTTGCAGTCTCAGCG